TTGAAGATTAATTAGGGTAGAAAGTGAATTAGATACATTTTGGACTTAACAAAATAGGATAGATAATGAAATTATTTTCTCTGAATTTGTCAAATACAAATGGACTAGACATTGTTTAGACATTTATTACTTGTATATATTGTATATAGTCATTGTACTTTTGTATATAGTTTTTCTTTTGTTAGTTATAACCTTTTTCTTTTTTTTCCTTTTTATTAAAATAGAAAAGGGGAAATGTGGTGGTATTTTACTTGTACTGAAATGTGATTTTAATTGTATGTTAATAAATAAAGTTGTCTGGGGGTCAGAGCTATTAGAGCCATAGCAAGTGCATGGCGGCGGTGGCGTACGCCTTTAAGGACCTGGAGGGCGGTACATTCAGGCAGTGACGAGGCAGTCACATGTTTGGGTTTACAACCAATGAGAAGGCATAACAGCTAGACTATATAAAGACACACACAGGAAGTAGGTCCCCTTTTTTTTCGGAGAGCTCTCTTGGCTGAAGAGGATCCCTGAATCAGGAAGGGTGAGGCTCTTAGCTCTGACCTCTTGGCTTTCTTCTCTGAATTGGCTCTGTGTTTCTTATTTAATAAGACCGTTGGTTACATCTACAGATTGCCATTTTTACTATGTCAATCCTACCTATCCACGAACATGGGAGATCTTTCAATTTTCTGATATCTTCTTCAATTTCTTTCTTCAGAGACTTAAAGTTCTTATCATACAGGTTGTTCATTTGCTTAGTTAGAGTTACTCCAAGATATTTTATATTATTTGTGGCTATTGGAAAGGCTATTATATATTATCATTTGTATATAGGAGGGCTACTAATTTTTTTTAGTTAATCTTGTATCCTGCCACCTTACTGAAGGTGTTCATCAGCTGTAGGAGTTCCCTGGTAGAATTTTGGGGGACACTTATGTATACTATCAAATCATCTCCAAATAGTAAAAGCTTGACATCTTTATTTCCTATTTGTATCCTGTTGATCTTCTTTTGTTGTCTTACTGCTCTAGCTAGAATTTCAAGCACTATGTTGAATAAGTATGGGGAGAGTGGAGAGCCTTGTCTCTTTCCTGATTTTAGTGGAATCACTTTGAATTTCTCTCAGTTTAACTTAATGTTGGCTATTGGCTTGCTGTAAATTGCCTTTATTATGTTTAGGTATGTTCCCAGTATTCCTGATCTCTCTAAAACCCTTATCATGGTGGTGGATTTTGACAAGGGCCTTTTCAGCATCCAGTGAGCTAATCATGTTGTTTTTTCTCTCAGTTTGTTTATATGGTGTATTAAATTGACAGATTTTTGTATGTTGGACCACCCTTGCATCTCTGGGATGAAGCCTACTTGATCATGGTGGATAACTTTTTTGATGTGTTCCTGGATTTGGTTAGCTAGTATTTTATTGAGTATGTTTGCATCAATGATCATGAAGGAGATTGGTCTGTATTTCTCTTACTTTGTTGTATTTTTGTGTGGTTTGGGTATCAGGGTAACTGTAGCCTCATAAAAAGAATTTGGTAATGTTCCTTCTGTTTCTATTGTGTGGAACAATTTGAAGAGTATTGATGTTAGTTCTTTGAAAATCTGGTAGAATTCTGTGATGAAACCATCTGGTCCTTGGCTTTTTTTGTTTGGGAGACTTTTAATGACCATTTCTATTTCCCTAGAGGTTATTGTTCTATATAAATAGTTTATCTGGTCTTGATTTAACTTAGGTATGTGGTACCTATCCAGAAAACTGTCCATTTTTTTCAGATTTTCCAACTTTGAGGAGTATAGATTTTTTTTATTTTTATTTTACAATACAATTCGGTTCTACATATCAGCCACGGATTCCCTTGTTCTACCCCCTCCCGCCCCTCTCCCCTTCCCCCCAGCCTACCCCCTATTCCCACCTCCTCCAGGGCAAAGCCTCCCCCAAGGACTGAGATCAACCTGGTAGACTCAGTCCAGGCAGGTCCAGTCCCCTCCTCCCAGGCCAAGCCAAGCAACCCTGCATAAGCCTCCGGTTTCAAACAGCCAACTCATGCAATGAGCACAGGACCTGGTCCAACTGCCTGGGTGCCTCCCAAACAGATCAAGCCAATCAACTGTCTCACCCATTCAGAGGGTCTGATCCAGTTGGGGGCCCCTCAGCCATTGGTTCACAGTTCATGTGTTTCCATTCGTTAGGCTATTTGTCCCTGGCGTACAGATTTTTGAAGTATGACCTGATGTTTTTCTGGATTTCCTCATTGTCTATTGTTATATCCCCCTTTTCATTTCTGATTTTGTTAATTTGGATTCTCTCTCTCTCTCTCTCTCTCTCTCTCTATACATATATATATATATATATATATATATATATATATATATATATATATATATATATGCTTTTTGGTTAATATGGATAAGGGCTTGTCTATCTTGTTGATTTTCTCAATGGACCAACTCTTTGTTTCATTGATTCTTTGTATTGTTCTCTTTGTTTCTATTTTATTGATTTCAGCTCTCAATTTGATTATTTCCTGGCATCTGTTTCTCCTGAGTGAGTTTGCTTCTTCTTGTTGTAGAGCTTTCAGGTGTTAAGTCACTAGTATGCAATTTCTCTATCTTCTTTATGTGGGCATTTAGAGCTATGAATTTTCCTCTTAGCACTGCTTTCATAGTGTCCCATAAATTTGGGTATGTTGTACATTCGTTTTTATTGAATTCTAGGAAATATTTAATTCCTTTCTTTATTTCTTCCTTGACGCATTGGTGATTCATTTGGGCATTATTCAATTTCCATGAGATTGTAGGCTTTCGGTAATTTTTGTTGTTGTTGAAATCTAACTTTATGCCATGGTGGTCCGATAAGATACAGGAGGTTATTTCAGTTCTTTAGTATCTGTTGAGATTTGCTTTGTGATCAAGCATGTGATCAATTTTAGAGAAAGTTCCAAGGGGTGCTGAGAAGAATGTATATTCTCTTGTGTTAGGGTGGAATGTTCTGTAGATATTTATTAAGTCCATTTAAGTCATAATGTCTGTTTGTTCCCTTATTTACCTGTTAAGTTTCTGTCTGGCAGACCTGCCCATTGATGAGAGTGAGGTGTTGATATCTTCCACTACTAAAGTATGGGATTTGATGTGCAATTTAAGCTTTAATGAAGTTTTTTTTACAAAAGTGGGTGCCCTTGTATTTGGGGCATAAATATTTAGAATTGAGACTTCATCTTGTCAGATTTTCCCTGTAATAAATATGTAATGTCCTTCCTGATCTCTTTCAACTGATTTTAGTTTGAAGTCTATCTTACTAGATGTATGATAGCTACACCAGCTTGCTTCTTAAATCCATTTGATTGGAAAGTCTTTTCACAGCCTTTTATTCTGAGGTAGTGTCTGTCTGTTAAGTTGAGGTGTGTTTTTTGTATGCAGCAGAAGGATGGATTTTGTTTTCATATCCATTCTGTTAGCCTGTGTCTTTTTATAGGTGAATTGAGTCCATTGATATTGATGGATATTAAGAACCAGTGATTGTTAATTCCTATTTTTTTTTGGTTGTTGTATTGTGTTTTTCCCTTCTTTGGTATTTGTTGATGTGAGACTATCTATTGCCTGTGTTTTCATAGGTGTATCTAACTTCCTTGGTTGGAATTTTCCTTTGAGTGCTTTCTGTAGGGCTGGATTTGTGAAAAGATACTGTTTAAATCTGGCTTATCATGGAATATTCTGTTTACTCCATCTATGTTTATTGAGAGTTTTGCTGTGTAAAATAGTCTGGGTTGGCATCCATGGTCTCTTAGTGTCCACGTAATATCTGTCCAGGACCTTCTGGTTTTTAGAGTCTCCGTTGAGAAGTCAGGTGTTATTTTTATGGATCTGCCTTTATATGTTACTTGGCCTTTTTCCTTTGCAGCTATTAATATTTTTTCTTTATTCTGTATGTTTAGTGGTTTGATTATTATGTTGCAAGAGGACTTTTTTTTTTGGATCCAGTCTATTTGGTGTTCTGTAAGCTTCTTGTATCTTTATAGGCATTTCCTTCTTTTGGTTGGAAATGTATTCTTCTATGAATTTGTTGAATATATTTTCTGTGCCTTTGAGTTGGTATTCTTCTCCTTCTTCGATCCCTATCATTCTTAGGTTTGGTCTTTTCATGGTGCCTCAAATTTCCTGGACTTTTTGGGTCATAACTTTGTTGGCTTTAGTGTTTTCTTTGACTGATGAATCTATTTCCTCTAAGGTATCTTGAATGCCACAGATCTGCTCTTCCATCTCTTGCATTCTATTGGCTATGCTTGCATCTGTAGTTCCTGTTTGTTTACTCAGTTTTTCCACTTTCAGCATTTCCTCAGTTTGTGTCTTCTTTATCAAAAAGATTTCAATTTTCCAATCTTGAACTGTTTTCCTCCCTTGCCTAATTCCTTTCTCTTGGCCTTCTTTAAGGGATTTGTTTGACTTTCCCTCAATTTCTTTAAGGGAATTTTTCATTTCCTCTTTAAAAATATCTAGCATCTTCTTAAGGTCATTTTAAGGTCTATTTCTTCTGTTTCTTCTGTGTTGGGATATTCAGGTCTTGCTGATGTAGGTTCTGATGCAGCTATATTGGTTTTTTTGTTGTTATTGACTGTATTTTTGCACTACCCATCTCTTTCTCCACTTGGTAAAAGTGGTGTCTATGTCTGAGGGAGGCTCTCTTGGTCTAATTGATACTCTTGTTCCAGTGGAAGCTCTTGGTCTAATTGGTGCTGATGGACTCTTTGTCTCAGGTAGCAGCTCTTAGTCCAATTGGTTCTTGTGGCCTCTGTCTCAGGGAGTAGCTGCAATCTTGATACCTCTTAGCCCAATTGGTGCCATTGGGCTCTGTCTCAGGGAACAGTCTCGAAGAGTAGGTGGGATTTGGGGGAGGTGGGGCTTGGGTTATAGGGTCTGATGGGAGATGGTGGTAGTCTGTTCTGTCTGCAGGAGGTCTGCCTCTGCCGACTGGCTTGAAACTGGGACTGCAATGGGTGGTGGTGTAGGGGTGCAGGGTTATGGCCCTGGGTCCAAAGCCTAGGAACTGGGATGTTCAGGTATGAGGATAAAGACTCACCTCAGTCCAATCGGGTGCTGACAGGCTCTGTCTCAGGAAAGAGTTGCAGACTTTGAGGTTGGGTGGGATTTGGGAGAGGTGGGTCTTGTATAAATATTATTGACAAAATAATTTCATGAGTCTGAGTCCTGTTTTGTTGCCCATAATATCTTTGCAGTCTTGAGAACGTGTGATTTTCCCAACCAACATCCAAGTCTCAACATTTCAAGTCACCATTTTGCTCAGAGAAGTGATTTTTGGAACTGTTTAAGGAAGAAATTTTAAATGACAGAATAGACCACAAGGATTTGACAATAGGAATAGTGTTCTTACTTCAGAGTACAGTTGGAATTGTTGGAAATTTCTCTCTTCTTTCCTGCTACCTCATCCATTACTACACTGAACAGACATTAAAGAACACAGATTTGATTCTTACACACATGTTCACAGCCAACTCCTTGATCATTTTTTCTAAAGGATTACTCCACACAATGAGAGCTTTTGGGGTGGAAAAGTTCATCAATGATTTTGGCTGTGAATTTCTTTTGTATATTCAAAGAGTAGGCAGAAACATGTCCATAGGAATGACTTGCTTCTTGAGTGTTTTCCAGGCCATCACTATCAGCCCTGTGAACTCTTTTTGGTTGTGTCTTAAAGTCAAAGCTCCAAAGCACATTGGTCTCTTCACTTCCCTCTGCTGGATTCACTGTATGTCAATAAATATGGTTTTCCCTGTGTATAGGTATATCAAGGGGAACATCAATAATCTGGCACATAAGAGTGGCATGAAATACTGCTCCACATTAAGTCATGATGATCACACAAGCTCATTATACACAGCATGTTTTGTTGTTCCTGAAATTTTGTTTTCTGTCATCATTGTTTGGTCCAGCATCTCCATGATTATCGTTCTGTATAGGCACAAACAACGGGTTCAGTATATCCACAGCACCAGTGTTTCCTCCAGTACATCCACTGAGTCCAAAGCCACCCACCACATAATGGCTCTGGTGTTGACATTTATAGGCTTTTATGCCCTCTCTTTCATCTTACAAGGTTGCATTGCTCTCGTATATAACCCTAGTTGGTGGCTGATGAACATTACTGCAATCATTTCTATGTGTTTTCCTACTTTGGGGCCCTTTGTTATGAGCCATGATTCACAGTGCCAATGTTGTGCTTTTCAGGAGTAAGAAATCAAAAAATCTCATAATGTTATTACAGGTATAATGATTGTATGGTCTCATTCCCATATCATCTAAATTTTAAGTTTCTCTTCTTATATAAACCACCAACATACAGCTTATTCCACAGCCATTAGTCTTCTTAAGGGAAATTGTACCTTGTGTTTGGATTTTAAGTTGTTGTAACTACTATCTATAATATCGCAGCAGACATGATTGAAACAGACTGTTATTTTGCAAGAAAATTGTACTCTGTTTTTATAAATCATAAATCCATTTCCTTGTGGCAAATTGAATAAGTTAGACCTCAATTCAGTTCTGGATTCTTGTGTGGCCAAGTAATGTACTCAGTGGAGAACTTTTCCAGAAAGAAACACAGTAAATAATAATTGTGTTGGACCTGCCTCAACTGAATCTACCAGGCTTGGCTGACACCCCAGGGGAGACCTTGCCCTGGAGGAGGAGGGAATGGGAGATGAATTGGGGGGGAATATTGGGGGGTGGGAGGATGGAAGACAAGGGGAATTTTGGGCTGATATGTAAAATTAAATTAATTAAAAAATAAAAATATTAAAAAACATATAATTGTGCATGTTGTGTAATAACTTTTCAAAATTTATTTATTTATAGTATGAATCTTTTACATCATGTATCTTGATCCCATTCATATCCCTCTCCCTTTGCATCTTCCCTCTACCCCGTACCCCCATCCCACAAAAAATGAAATTTTAGAGGAAAAAGGAAAGAAATTAAAGAGAAAAAAATTAAAAATCTTGTTGAGGAAGTTCCAGTGTGATACAGTGAGTCATATAAAATACTTTGTCCATATATCTTTATTTGCAAGTATTCATTTTAACTTGTCATTCTTCTTCAAGCTCTCTGGTTTCTCTACACTATCAATTCTAACCAACACTAGGACTTTTCCTGGGTTTCTAGTTGTTGCCCTGTGTTGCAGAGATCCTGCATGTTTGGGTCTACAGTTCAGGTTCCTATGTGTGATATGGCAGATAATAAATGGGGTGGATGTTTGGTTAGGCCATGTCATAGCCGTCGGTGTGAACCTGGGAAATTGTAGGATTAGTCTGCCAGATGCTTAATGTGGAGAACTCACCCTTGTTCACTACTTCAGGGCTAGCTCATCCACATCTCCACCAGCAGGGTTTTGTTTATGTGTTGCCCCTTTAAGGTGCAGGGCCTGCTATCTGGCTCTTGTGACCTCACAGCCAGTTCCAACACTTGCCTCAGGTGTTGAGGGGTAATTGTCTTTCCTCCATCCGTGCTGCCATGGGACAAGTGAGAAATGTGGGCTGCTCTCCCATACTACTTCAGGGCTGGCTAACTCATACATTCACTAGCAGGGTTGACTCCAACTATAGATACTTTACATGACAAGTTTCACAGAATTTTATGTGAATAACCAAATCATTTATCCTGTCAGAATCCCTCTTCTCCAAAATACTGAAACATTCTGCACTGTGATGTAGATGTAATTATAAGTAGTTTTATTAAATAAGAAACACAAAGCCAAATGCAGAGTTAAAAGCCCAAAAGGTCAGAGCACTAGTGAATAGCCCTTAACTTACCAGTCACTGCTATCCTTCCCCTCAGAAAGAAACCTACTTCCTTTGTGTCTGTCTTTTCATTGACTTTCTGTTCTGCTTTCTCATTGGTTGTAAACCCAACCACATGACCTCCTCATCACTGCCTGTCTATATAGACCTCTAGGTCTCTATGGTTGGTATTGAGATTAAAGGCATGTGTCTCCATGCTGGCTGTATACTTGAGCACACAGAGATTCTGCCTGTCATGTGATCAGGATAAAGGGTTTGTGCTACCAATGCCAGACTTCTAAGTGGCTTGCTATTAGCTGTGACCCCCAGGCAAGTTTATTTATTAGCATATAAATACAATCACATTTCAGTACAAATAAAATATCACCATCTGATACAGATTAACTGGTTCTGTTAGGATGGCAGCACAGCCTACAAACTATGCTGATTGGGACATAGAGAGTATTAACTCCAACTTTATAGATATCTAGAGATTTCTTAATGGGCCTTCATGAAATAACAGCTCTTACTATTGATATAGAGGGAAATGTGAGCTTTATTTTATTTGACTCCAGAATAATTTATTCTTATTTATTATTTATTTTTATATATTTTACATATTTTTATATAATTTATTATCATCCGTACTTCAGAAATTCACATTGAACCAAAGTTCTAATGAGTTTGTTTATAAATCTCATAAAGATAGTTGCCAGAGTCCAGCTCCAGCAGGTTTCTGAGTCACAAGACAAAGGTATGAAGTTGGGGAAAAATGAAGGGTCTGACTACCTTTGTCTTTCAAACAGGTGAAGTCAAATAACTCAAGCTATTTTTATTTATACAAGTTCTAATGCATTTAATCATGAGCAGTTACATTTCTCTTTAATCATTTTCTGAGTCACTCTCATTTATTCCATTTAGTTTCTTTTCCTCTTCCTTACTCCCTTGACATCACTAATTCTTATATTGCAAGCCAAATGATTATATCTAGTCAGGCACATCTTATTCTTATTGTGTCCTAGCTGGCAGCAAACATGCAGTTACCAAAAAGGATACTCATGCCCTTCCCACTACACCCTATGTCCTTAACAATGTGATAGTTTTGTATTTTTGTGATCAGCTGAGTGTATGATGCCATATGTAGGATATTGTTTTCAAGTATAAGTCAATTTCTAAATAATCCATTTATCACTTTTATGTGAACAATAGTTTTAATCCTATTCTTTATACATTCTCAAAATGGTAATGATTTAACTCTTAAACTGATGGGACCATGCTGTGGGATGTTCTGTATGGCAAATGTGTTGCTCATTAGTCAATACATAAAACACTGATTGGCCATTGACTAGGCAGGAAGTGTAGGCGGGACAAGGAGGAGAATAAAGCTGGGAAGTGGAAGCCTGAGTCAGAGAGACACTGCCAGCCGCCACGATGACAAACAGCATGTAAAGATGCCGGTAAGCCATGAGCCATGTGGCAAGGTATAGATTAATAGAAATGGATTAATTTAAGCTGTAAGAACAGTTAGCAAGAAGCCTGCCATGGCCATACAGTCTGTAACCAATATAAGTCTCTGTGTTTACTTGGTCGGGTCTGATGGCTGTGGGACTGGCAGGTGAGAGAGATTTGTCCTGACTGTGGGCCAGGCAGGAAAACTCTAGCAACAGGACCAAGTTCATATTGTCCTGCTATTTTAACACGTACTTTTACTTCCAAAGGGAAGAGAGTTTTAGCTGAAAGAAAAATCTAACCATTCATGTGCTAAAAGCAGCGAGATGTCTGGCCTTTCATATCCTTTACCTTTTCCTTATGTGTCCCTATAAAATTTTAATGTCATCTTTTAAGAAATTATCTCCCAAGTTCTTAAGTTCTTTGGAATATAGTTATCTCTTTTTAGAATAGTTAAGTAAGAAAGAATCATTAACCTCCTGCTTGCTCAAGAGTGTAGATGTAACCAACCATCTTATTAAATAAGAAACACAGAACCAATGCAAAGAAGAAAGACAAGAGGTCAGAGCTAAGAGCTAAAACCTTACCCTTCCTCCTGTGGTGGTCCTACCTCTCCGAACCCGAGCTACCCCTGTGTTAAAGTCTTTATATAGAGTTTCTGTTCTGCCTTCTCATTGGTTGTAAACCCAATCACATGACCACCTCATCACTGCCTGTCTGTACAGACCTCCAGGTCTTCTATGATTGGTATTGAGATTAAAGGCATATGTCTCCAATGCTGGCTGTATCCCTGAATACACTGTGGGATGGTCTGTATGTCAAATGTGTTGCTGATTGATCAATGAATAAATCACTGATTGGCCTGTGGCCAGGCAGGAAGTGTAGGCGGGACAAGGAGGAGAATAAAGCTGGGAAGTGGAAGGCTGAGTCAGAGAGACGCTGCCAGCCGCCACGATGACAAACAGAATGTGAAGATGCTGGTAAGCCACGAGCCATGTGGCAAGGTATAGATTTATAAAAATGGATTAATTTAAGCTGAAAGAACAGTTAGCAAGAAGCCTGCCATGGCCATACAGTTTGAAACCAATATAAGTCTCTGTGTTTACTTGATCGGGTTTGAGCGGCTGTGGGACTGGCGGGTGAGAGAGATTTGTCCTGACTGTGGGCCAGGCAGGAAAACTCTAGCAACAGAGATCTACTTGGCTCTGCCTATCAAGTGCTGGGATTACAAGCATACACCACCACTGCCCGGCTTTCCTATGGCTTGCTAATAGCTCTGACCCCCGGGCAACTTTATTTATTAACATAAAAATAACATTTTAGTACAAAATAAAATATCACCATACAGGAGGACTGTGAAAGATTTCCTTGAAAGACATCAGAGATGCTTAATTTCTTTTTAGAAACCTCTAGAAAAATTATCAGCTTTTGTTCCCAGTAAACTCAGCTAAAAATCACAACTGACAAAACAAACTAAGAATTACCATGAGAATAAGCATAGCAAAAGTTAAAGAGGCCTGAAGCCCCTGAGCTCTCTAGAATCAGTGCAGGGTTCTGCAGCAGTGCTTCTATAGTTCACTGGCAAGTAGACGGGATACTACAAAGGACCTTGATTAAGGAGCCCCATTCGTAAAACATTCATGCGCTATTCCCAGGGTGACAACAAGGCTTCTGACAGACAGTAATTAGGAAAATTATGGAAAAGTAATAAGTATACATGATCCATAGATTTAAAAAGTTATCACACAATTTTAAACCTGGCCCTCAGCAGCTAGACTTCAGTGAAGCTACCACCCTATGGCATGTGGTTGGGGCTGGTGAAACTCAGCCAAGTAAGGGCCAGGGGTTCTAACCCTGGGCCACCAATGGTTTCAGCAAAGCCCTCACCGAATGCCATGTAGCCAAGGTAGGCAGAACGCAGCAAAACACACCAATCAGAAGTCTGCATATGGCACAGGGCAACTGGGCACTATAATGATCTCCTTTTGTTATGAGGAAGCATGGCCCAGC